GTCCAATATATGTATATATACACATATTTATTCTACAATCACTAAAAGGTTGTATAACTTCCAAAGGTAACAGGAAAATAATGCTATCTAATTTATTACTAAGGATGCTACTCTTTCCTGAGATGTTGTTTTTTTCAGCTTGAAAAAAAGCACTCAATTTGTTTCCTCTAATGCCCTAATCACTACATGAGGTTATGCTTTTTCTTGCCTGTTTCCTGCCCAGTCTTAGAGAAGTCCTGCAGAGCTGACTGTCCACAGCTCACTGAGAGCAGCAGCACGGGAGAGTACTCTCATGATCTCATGGTGAAGAACTAAAACTGAGTGATGCAGTTTTCCTCAGGAATATTTAGCTTACCAAGTAAATGTCTCACCTACTACATAATCTTACATAAAGAGACCGGGAAATAACATCAAAAGTTAGCTGCAAGCTCCTCAAACATAACTTCTCAACATTCTCTTTTTTACCTGCTCAGAGTTCAGGTGGATTGGGACCTGAATAGAGCTTTAGGTGGAACACAGTTATCACTCTACTCAGGACAGTAATTAAAACAAAAATAACCTGGATTAATTCTTATTTTAAAAACATAGAGATGCTTTTTTAACATTCTAGATCAGAGGTTAAATAAAATGTTCAATTTGAAAAATGCTGGTTTGTAGACTGAAAAAAAAAGTGAGATTTGCCTGACATTGCAGAATTAAGATATTAAGAAGAAAATAACATATTGGTCCCTTCAGGTGAAAAATTTGCAAAGCAGAAGCCAGTAGTAGATCAGATGTGTGGGGGAATGAACACCTAATATATGTGGGGGAATGAACACCTAATATAACAAATGCACACCTTAAAAATACAGTCATTATTAAGGGCAGAGTAGGACAAATACTGTATATTGCAATGTTAATGAAGTTATTTTTGTGGCCTAATCACTGACATTCAAGAGATTTTTCCTATGAAAATCAAGATGTAAATTTTAATTTTGGATATGTATTAGCTATTTGCGTAGGCAAGACTGTTTCACTAGAAACTTACATGACTTCATGTGCTGGCTTAAAACATTTTTAAATGGAAATAGTATGAATGTATCCTAAGCGAATGTTACATATATTCCAACTAAATATATATATATAACAATAATTTCTCATTGCTGCTATTCTTTTCTGCCATCCTAATTCTCTTTTTTCCTCCCTCTTTAGTGAAACTGTTCTTCCCTGCAGTATGCAGGAAAAATAAAGTTCCAGCACACTTGGAAGCCAAAGGTTCATTTGTAGTATTCATTAAGCAGTAAGCAGTCAAAGAAGTTTATTAACTTTATCAACATTAAGTTAAGTTGATAAAACAACAAAAGTAATTACTTTTACTGGTGGAAAATCCTGCAATTGAGTGCAAGCAAAGTATGCAGTCCAGTAGTGTGCCTGAGTTATGTTTCATGCACTCATATTGTCACACAATCTTGGCCTGAAAAAGGAAAAAAAAGAAAACAACTAAAAGCAACACCAGAGATTTGTATTTTGAAAGCTCCTTCCCTTCCCAAATGGAGAAAAATTTTAAACACTCACGCTTTATTTTGTGCTTCCTGGCAAGGCACACTTGATTTGTTGACAAGGCTGCTGAACAGTTCTTTAACATGCAAGAGATCATTTGGTCATCTCTACAGAAACAAATACAGGTGTTCTCATCAGATGAGCAAGTCTCAAAGCAAGTGAGATTAACCAAAGACGTCAAGACCTACTAAAATTGTAGTAATTAAACTGTTGTAGTGACTGGAGAATATTTTGGGCATACCTGCCACCTGGTGTTTGGAAAACATCATGTCTGAAAACAACCTGAAAATCTCTTAAATCTGAATTCTCATTAAGACATAAACACGTATTGATGTATTTTATATGGATGAAATACATAAGCAGCAAAAGGTTGGTGTAATTACCAGCATCTGTCTAGAAAGAAAATGAAGACAGTGCTTTAATGTTTCTTCCAGCTCCATCTCTACTGACTACAGAAATTCTTTAACTGGACCTACATATCTCCTGTCAGATAATGGCACCTCTGGTGAGAAACATCCTGGGCAACAGCCTTATAGTACTTCACAGTCTGACTGTAAACTACAGCATGCCAAACCCAAAGAACTGACTTATATGAGATGGAGCTAGGTAAGAAAAGGACTAGTGATATATAGTACTGGGTACTGAGTAATGAATCATTGTCTGAAATTACTGTGATGAGTATTAATTTGTCTTATCTAAAACATTTAAAATGCCCAAGTCTTTATAGTGGAAGTGGCAATGACACTAATAGTTTTGCATACTTGATATTGATGCTCACTGGTAAAACTCAAAACAATAAGCATGTAAACTGAGAAAAGCCATGTTTATCTTTACCTAGCAAAAGGTTACTTCAAGTGGTGGCTAAAGCTTTAGTGCAGACAACTGAACAAATCACTGTGCAATTCAGTGATATCAAACTGTACTTATAGCACATTGAGATTTTTGTCTCCTCCTCTGCAAAGCAAGATTTAAATACAACTGTGTTTCCCAATGATAACTCAGGATGAAGCCACAGTCTAAGGTCAGTCTCAGCAATATAAACAGCATTTAAGTTTGCACCCTGGCAAGCACAAACTAGAACTATTTTTCTGGAATCACATCTTCGTAGGGCTGCCAAAAATGAAGCCAAGTGTAGCATTTGGGTTTGTCATTTTCTTCAAGGCAATGGAGGTCAAATGCAACTGTGTCCTGAGGTGCCCCACTCCATTTCAGTTCTAATGACTTTGAAAATGACACGCACTAGAAGATCCACACTGTAAATTTACTGTGTACACACACACTCCTGGCTGTTTGCATCAATAACTTTTAACTGCAGTGCACATGGGAACAAACACAACCTCTCAACTAGCTGAGATCCATGCAGCTCTTGAGGATGGCCTGTGCACGGCCAGGAGCTGGATTCAATCCCTGTGGGTCCCATCCAGCTCAGGACACTCTGTCACTGAGTCTATGATTAATTGTCATTAATTTCTCCCAGAATTTAGTTACTGTCTAATACAGGGCTCAGTTGCTTTCTCAGCACCTGAAAAAAGTGTTTTCTAATGAAAACACAGATCCTAACATGGAACTTCGTAAAGCAGAACATGCTCTTCCTGTCGTCTATTGACTGACTACTCAGCAGACAGCTGTGTTAGCAAATTAGAACTATTTTCTTATTTTTGAGAGAGGAGTCTAATGACTCTTCTAGGATCTTTGCAGAGAGTGCAAAGGAGAAGAAAAAAAATACAAAAAGTTGAAAGAAAAACTGAAGAAAAAAAGACCACTAACTCCAAACAGAAATTACATCAGTGGTCTAGTATGCTGATGGCTACTAGCAGTGGAGCCAAGATCATTGCTTCTGTATCCTAGGAAACTAAGATGTTTATTGGATGTAAACAAACAAAAAAAAATATTTCAGGCTCCCACAAAGAGTTGGATTCAAAAGGTACATCTCCATTATTTTTTGGTCAGTTCAAGTCTGTTTGAGCAGACCTGTTCATGTTAGTCACAGCTCCTGCAGAACCTCTTTAATATTCCATTTGAGTTGGTCATCATTACTATTATTTTAACTGACAAATATGAAAATAATAATGTTGTATACACCAAAAATTGTGCTTTCCATTCCCATTTTTATTTCAGCATGCACAACATACTGTGGCTCATGCAAGTCTTATTCTCAGTGCACAGCTCTGAAAATGGCACTCTTCTTCAGCTGCTGCTTAAAAGGAAATTGGCTACTGAATAAAGAAACCAAAGCACTTAGGTAGCCAAAAATTGACAAATTTGGATATTCTTCACTGCTAGGAAGGATCTGTCTGGATACCACAGTACAAGCTGCTCCTCAACCTATGTGTATTCACAGTACCATAAACCAAGTATGCCAAGTAGCTGTTCTTAATGAAAACCCTAAGTCTACATACTGAGTGATGAAACTTTCACTTTACTAAGCCATGTAAAAGCCCATCAATCATCAGTTGTTTCAAATATGAAGAAAGGAGTGCTTTGTTCTAAAAGGATTGATGAGACCATGTAGATTTTAGGGGAAACACTTGCAAGTGACTTAAGAATTATGTGGCAAGGCTTTGGTAGTGAGGGGGCTATGGGGGTGGCTTCTGTGAGGAGCTGCCAGAAGCTTCCCCTGTGTCCACCAGAGCCAATGTCACACAGCTCCAGGATGGACCTGCCATGGCCAAGGCTGAGCCCAACAGGTGGCTGATTTAAAAAGGGAGAAAAAAAACCTCCTTGGGCAGGGGGAAGAGGAGCAGAGAGAGTGAGAATGTGTGAGGAACAGCCCCGCAGGCACATGAGGAAGGAGATGCTCCAGGTGCTGGAGCCGAGATCCACCTGCAGCCTGCAGAAGAGCTCACACCAGAGCAAAGGGATGCTCAAAGGAGACTGTAATCCCGTGGGAAGCCTGCATTGGACTGGCTCCTGTGGCCCCTTGGAAAGGAGCCCACACTGGTACAGGTTTGCTGGCAGGACTTGTGACCCCATGAGGGACTTCATGCTTTGTGAAGAAATGCAGCCTGTGAGCAGCTCTCCAACTGGAGGAATTAATGGAAGACTGTCTCTTGTGGGAGGGACAGCAGGCTGGAACAGGGAAGAGTGAGAGGAGGAAGTGGCAGAGACAATATTTGATGAAGTGAGTGTAGTACAGTACAAATATGAAACAAAATCCTACAAAACAGTACTGGAATAATTTGCTGCTTCTGAGCATAGTCTGTAGCATTGATGCATTTGTATGTGTTAAAGCAGCTTTGGGGCTAGAAACTCTTACCTGTGGATATACAAGTTATTTAAAATCCTGTTTTCAGAAAGTTTCCATTGTGCTGGTAAAGAGAGACATGCCAAAAATCACTGTAACCAGACTTAAATAACTTGCATACCTTTGTATTTCAACCTCTGCCTGAAATCAGAGTTTGCTACTTACAGTAGCTTACTTACAGATGTTGAAGCCCACAGCTGGACAGAGACAAAAAACATTAAAATAAAAACTGCATATTTTATTTTTAGCTTTAAAGATGCATGTCTAAACAATCAGTAGAAAAAAAAAGTAAAAAAAGTAAACACCAGCATTTTGTAAAATCACATTGAACTAATACAAGACTTAATACAAAGTTTTCATACACGACTCAAATGCAGTTTTCAAAAAAAAAGTAGTCTGGTCTTCAAGACCACTTCCACTTGAAAAAAATCGTTAAGTACCCACAGATTTTAACTATAAAACAAGGATACATTCTTTCTTCTTTCTTCCATTTTTGGAGTTGATTGCCACAAACTTCAATCATTTGCCAGTGAAATTCTCATAGTCTCAGTTACAGAACTGAAGAGAACTCATACAATGCCATGACTGAAGTCTTTCCATTTTCAGTACACACTCAAGTCAGCACAACTTGTCACATATCCTTAGACTGATCATCTTCTTCAAGTTTTCTGATTTCATTCTTTAAACAGTTGATGGTTTCACGACTTGCTTTTAGTCTTTCTTTAAGCTCAGCAATTTCAAAACTAGTCTTCTTTTTAGCAGCTTCAAGCTTCTCCCTGGTTTTCACTTCAAGATCTGCAACTGTGGCAGTTGATAAAGAAAAAATATGTATTTTAAGTGCCATGAAATTTGCCTTTTTTTTTTTTAACTGAAACAGTAATTTGGATAGCATTTGTCCTGAAAGAAAAAAATCTGTTACTATTAGCTTTAGAAATTCAATGCTTGTAATCAAAATGGTATCCACATAAGAATCTGGATTTAAAAAAAAAAAAGTTTGTTTTGCAGCCTCATTCATCCCTCAGCCCATCAGTTTTGCACATAGCTATACAATTAATAAAATAATTTTCTACAAACCGAAACATGGGAGATTCCCTGTGAACATCAGGAAACTTTTCCTGTGGAAGTGACCAAGTGGTGGCACAGGTTGCCCAGGAAGGTTGTGGAATCCCCATCACTGGACACATTTAGAGGCCATCTGGATACAGTCCTGGGGAGCCACCTGTAGGTGGCCCTGCTAGGGCAGGGGATGGATATGATGCACCCAGAGGTCCTTCCAAGCCTCCACCATTCTGTGTTTCCTTCTCCATGTAACTGTAATCATTTTCTATCTCTCACTGGAGTTTAATTCTACAGATCTGAAAGTTTCAGTTATGCTGCCCTGCTTATCTGACATCACGTACCTATTTTTTACTATTTTTACATTAACAAGTTTTAGGACAAAGATGGTAAAGCCAACAAGTCCATGAAGGCTGTGGAATTCACTCATATCCCATACATTACATAGCTATGGGCAGTGGTAAATATTATCTGCTTCATTAGCACATTTTAAGGAAGTCTTTATACAAAGAAACCACACTGAAAGTTTCTACCTATTGTCTGGAGAAATATCCAAAAATTTTAAATGAAAAAAGTTTAAATTTGGATGTTTTTATCCATCATATTATTAAACATTTTCTAAACAAAAACTGTAACATGTAACAACAACAAAAATCCACCTCAAGACTGGCTGAACTGAGGCAGGAAATACAAGTGGCTCACATATCCACAGAGCTAAGCAGACATAAGGCAAATAGGAACCCTAACTTTGAAGAGCTTCAAATTCATAATCACTCGCCATTCTTAGCTCTGCTGGCCAAAAACGACATGACATTTGTTGTTGGGTGAACAAAAGGCCAGGTGGGGTGGACTGCAATGGATTAATGTTTGTAATTAATAGGGCAGGATTTTGGCTCAATAAATACTACATCTTCTACTCTCAGAAAGCAAGTAACAGATGAAATATAGATGATCAGAACAGAAATAAACACTAAATGCATTACAACTTATGAACCAATGGATCTCCAATTTAGTTTCCTTAGTTCCTTTAATATTTTTGCTTATATTTGGAAACAAATTGGATAAAAAGGACACAAAAACCATTACGCTGTACTTAAGAAGTATGTTTGAAATTACCTACATACATAGTTAAAGTAACTGTTCTGTACTTCAGGCCTTCAAGTGTGACCTTTGCTTGCAGTGCTGAACAGAACTGTACCATAAGGTGGCCTTCATTTATCCTCTGTTTTAATTCATTTCAAAGATGTCAGAGTAGGTATAGTTCATGCCATCACTCTTCATACCAAGTAATTCCTAATTCCTTTTTTTTAGAGCCATAGGGATAAGAAAATCTTAAAGTTTTCAGGTAAGTATTACTACCCTTGCAAAAGCTGAAGTTAAATTTAATGCAAAATTACCATCTTTTTGCAGCATCCAAATCCATTGTACTGTTACAGCCCCCCCAAAAAATACATTAAAAGCGAATCAAACTATTGTTATTTCTAAAGTTTAAAATATTTTAATTTTCAACTTACACTCTGTTTCATGTTTATAAGCACCTAGTGTTAGTTGACGAGACGTCGTTAACAGCTGCTGCATCATTGCAGTAGGATCTTGAAATATCTAATGAAGGAGAAAAATACATGGTATATGGTATCACTAATACTCTTCAAAATAAAGTGAGGATTACAATAAAAATGCTCATACCATTTCATCATAGAATTCAGAAACTACAGTTTTCTTCCCCAGGATGGCATTGGTATCCGACTGAAAAAGCTTCAGCAAGTGATATAAAGTTACCTATTCAAAAGACAGAATTTTATTAGCTTAAAAATTGTAGCGAAATAAAAAACTTGTTCTACATATCAACAAGTAGTATTTGTTCCTACAAAGTAACTGTATAAGATTTAAAAATGTTTTAGGAATGCAAATATAAATGTCATATAGTTTCAGCAGAGTTACTTTGAATTTAACATTAACTTTTAAAACACGCCAACTATCTAAAGGCCTCTTGAGACTAAAAATGTCTGGGAAAGTGGTTTAGGACTGGTATATAAAAAATACTAATACCACCATTTCCAAATGGGTGATTTAATTCAAATTGACTTTCTCAATTAATCAGTTAGAAAGTGCTTTCTGTGACCTTATCCTCTATTCTTGAGAAAACGAAGCACCAGGGAGGCTGTGAATTGCTTTTCACTGAAATCTCTCTTTCTGGGGTTACTCTTCCATCCCTGCACTGCAAATGGCAGGGTGGGGAGAGGACTGGAACTCTCTGTGCAGCCCTGAGGAGCCACTGACCACCTGGCCTGGGAAGGGCACACACAGCCCACGCTTCTCCCCTTCCACAAACAGGCCCAGGAGCCATGGTGGAACAGAGCAGTACCTGACTTCCTTTGGGACCTCCTGGAAAGGAAGAATGTGACAGGCTCCCAAACAGCCTTCCAAAAACAGCAGCAAAGAAAAAACACCCAACCAACCTTAGGAGAGCTTGGTCAAGCTGTGAATGGAATTAATAAAAGTCAGGGTGCTACCGAGCCCAACAGCACGGGAAACCCATTGTGACCAATCACCATGTATTTCAGGAAAACATGAAATTCAGTTTCACTCTCATTCAGCAAAAAATGGATCAAAAAAAGGATTGTTCATGTGACAGAAGGAACTCAATCCTTCCTGAAATAAACATCCTTTTCCCTAAAATAGAGTAATCAAGTTTCCTACTAGATCTGAATAAACAAACCTACAAGATATGGCTAAAACACAGGAATGGAAGAAAGAAATTAATTTCAGCACTTTACGCAACTACAGAGGTTTTTAACCTGGTCTTCTTAGGCAGAGATTTATGCTAGTATAGTAGCCCTGCTGCTTTTTGACTGATTTTGATCTGTTTGATCTGTTTGATTTTGATCTGATAAATAAAAATTAAAATACTTAAATATCCTAGAACTTGGAAGCTCTGTGGAAGAGAAATCCTCAGTGTGTGCTCAACCCAGGTAAGGTGCAATATGTGGTCACATGTTAGTAAATGTCAGAGAAGCCAAGCACAGGAAAAGCAGTCATGAATACCAGGAGCGTAGCACAGAAAGAAGAAAATGTGACCAATCCTTAGAATAATTTTCTACAAGAAGAGACTTTTATTACAGTGAGACTTATTTTGTCCAGCAATTTCCTAGAGCCGTTGGCCACCATAGTTAATTATTTAAGCTTTGTTAAAAGTTCAATGTACTTACAGGTCTTTCATTTGGATCAATGAAAAATATCTTAATGATTATTTCAAATTCACCCCAGCCTGTTTCGGTGATTTCATATGGTGGTTTGGTAACAACTGCAATAGGCAACACAGAAGTGTTAATACCATGATAAAGCCGGAACAAAAGCCCAATTCTAGGAACAACTGCTGAAATGCAAAACCCACCTCTTAAAGGATTACCGTAGCTTTCATGCAACTTGAATTGAATTTTTTTCACATATGCAGACATGTCCTAAAACAGAAACATTGTTATTTCTGATTATTATTATTTCAGCACACCAAGCTACTATTCAGTCATCTATCCTATGTGCCTACATTCCTTCTGATTTTAAATACTATTTCTTCTGACTTTAAGCACAGAAGGAAAGCAAAGCGGTAAATCGAAAAATTAGTTCTTGCACACAGCTCTCTTTTATTTAGTTTCATCCCCATGAATGTTCTCCAGTCTTCCCCTACACTGGAAACATCACTCAAAAAAACATAAACGAAGCATGCCTTTCCCACGGTTTTCCTTTTTGGAAACCCACCAGCCTCTCTATTTTCTTAGCTTACAGCCAAAGACCCTCCTGCCCTTTCCTCTAATCCCGGCTTTTCAAACCCCCAAGTGCCGGTGCTGCTCGGCAGGAAAAGATCTCTAACATCACGGAGCGCAACCCTTACCCCAAGGCCATCACCACTAAGCCATGACCCAGGTGCCACATCCACAGGCGTTTTGCACATTTCCGTGGATGGCAGTTCCCGGTTTCCTAGCCCGCCTGTTCCAAAGCCGCACCAGGCTTTCGGGGAAGCGGCTCTGCCGTACCTCGTTCCGGTACGGCTTCACATACACCGTCCACTGGTGAGTGTGACCATCCTCCTCTCTCTTCTTCCCAAAATACCGCGCGACGTTGCCGTACACGATCGGCTTCACGATGGTAACGCCCTAAAGAAAGGAGCACAAGCGGACAGAGCGCGTTCAGAGGGGCGCTGCCGTACCGCGCCGCCCCCCGCGGCCCGAGTCCCGCCGCGGCCGCCGAGGCCGCACCTTCACCCTGCCGCCGGAGTCAGGCCCGAACTCTGCCATTCTCTTGAACATATTGCCCGGGGGCGCCGCCCGCCGCCGCCGCCGCCCGCGCCCGCCCCGTCCGGCCCCGCCGCCGCTCCCGCCGCCGCCGCCGCCCCGCGACCGCCATCCCCCGCGGCTTCCGGGGCGGGGCCGTGCCGCTGCCGCCGCCGGCCGGGGCGGAACGGCGCGCCCGGGAGCGGGCCCGAGCTGCGCCGCGGGAAAGGCACGCGTCCATGGACGGGACCCCAAAGGGCGCCCCGGTTCCACGCCCTGCACAGGGACACCTTCCGCTACACCGGGGTGCTCAAAGCCTCCTCCAGCCTGGTCTTGGAACGCTGCCAGTGATGGGGCATCCACGGCTGCCCCAGCAACCTTTTCTAGTGCCTCAGCACCCTCACAAGGAAGAATTTCTTCCCAATATCAATTTAAAATCTGTCCTCTTTCAGTTTTAAAGTCATTCCCCTCGGCCTGCCACTACATGCCTTTGTAAAAAGTTCCCCTCCAGCTCTCTCACAGGCCCCCCATAGGTAGTGGAAGTCTTGCTCCGAGGCCTCCTCCAGGCTGGCCCCAGCTCTCGGAGATGACTCTGAGGGGGTTGTTTCTCTGTGGAGCTGCTCCGTGCCTCAGCTGCACCCTCTGGTCAGCCCAGCTCTGTCCCTGTGATGGACTGGAGAGCTCGGTGGACTCCTCTGGAGAGCAGCAGCCAGACCCTGCCTGCAAACCATTTTCCAGAGCATCCCCCGGCCCCTCCCGTGGCCATCCAATGCCTGTGACAGGCTGGGACTCCTGGCAGACAAGAACACAGTGAACATCCTGCTTAACCCTCTCTCAGAAGGTAAAATTTCCTACCCTCTTGCTTGATCTAGATTGTGTGAACAGCACTGCTCAGCTCTGAAATGTTACAGCTGTTTTCATTAAAGCAAGTTGGCAAGACTGGCAGCTGGGCCAGTCTTTTACAAGTGCTCAAGCTCTGTCATCTAAGAAAAATTTTCTGAGGTTAATCTAACTTCTAATTAATAATTGGCTTCTGTGGAAGACTCTTTATTCCAATAACAAGATGAACAAGAGGGGGAATGGTGCAGTTCCTGATCTAAAGAAACCTTTTCCTCTCGACCATTTCTGCTTTAGTTTTTAAAGACAGAGGAGTAACCAACCTTTGTTAATCTGTCAGAAAGAGAACGGTATTTAAGAGCATCAAAAACTCCATCAGAAGCTATCATACAAACCCTGTTAAGACCCCATCTGGAAAAGAGTGCACTTTTCAGTTAAAAGTCTGTACTAAAATGGGTTGGGTTGGGAGGAGCCTTAAAGACCATCTCGTTCTCGTGCTCGTCCCTACTGTGGGCACAGACACCTTCCACCAGAGCAGGCTGCTCAGAGTCCCATGCACCTTGGCCTTGAACACTTCCAGGGGTGTTACCAGAACTTCTCTGGGTAACTCATTCCAGTACCTTACCACCCTCATAGCAGAAAATTTCTTAATATCTAGTGTATTATCTCCTCTTACAGGAAAAAAAAAAACCACCAAAACTGAAAGGCTAATACACAAGAACAGGGCAAATTGGTGTCAACACCATGTGCCCTAAAGAAGGCTAGAACCTCCTTAAACAAATTTGTCAAAATAAAGGTAGAGAAAATATTAACTAGCATTAACTGTTGCAAATGCCTTAGGGGATTGGGAGTTAACAAGGGAAATAACAAGAGGGCAAGCAGTATCAGCACAAAAATCAGATTAATATAAACTAGCCAAGAAACAACTCAGGCAGCAATTTGCTTTTGTAACCCCTGGAGCATGGGAGGAGCAGGATACTCGTCCTGTAAGAAGTGCAGGAGCTAACACCCCAGACAGACCCTATGAAGTTTTAAGATAAAGCATGGAAGAAGTTAAATGATGCAGATGCCTGCCCCAGGACAAGACTGAGCTTCATATCTTAGGCAGCATTTTCCAGTCTTTCTTGCTATTTTGCTTTCTTGTGTGGCCTTGCAATGGAAGGCTGAAACACACCCACACCATTCCCAACCTATTTTTCCTATAAGTATGGCCAATCATAGAGATATAGGTTGATTGAAATAATTAAATTCCTTTTTAAAACCTGATACAAAGATTTGTTCACCAAAAGAATGGTTAATGGATTTATTATCTAAACATTCACAGGCTTGAATGTTATTACCAAGATGGAAGCACATTTGAGAAAAGAAGTGGCAGAACTGGAGAAACTGGCACTGGACATGTATTCTGTGGCAACTGAAATGAAGGAAATCATCTCAAATGCAGAAAGCTTCAACACACTCACTGAATTTCAGAGTCACATTGGGACTATGGAGGGAAAACCTTTGTTGGAACATGTGGAATGAGAAGAATCTGTATAACAAAATGACATAAGAAAGACTGGAAATGGATGGGATTGTTTGAACTAGACCACGTTAGGCAGGTTCCTGGCTGTAGCAAAGGGCTGGCAGCACCCTGAAGAATCTAAGTGCTGAAATCTGCTTCTAGCAACCTGTTTTTGGGAGCTGCTGGACATAATGTGCCACCATGCTGTAAGTGTTGAGCCCAACCTGTGTCCAAGTGTGCAGCTTAGGTGAAGATTTTTCATATGCCACTGTTGTGAAAGGAAAGAGCCACATACGGGGAGCTGGCTGCTCCTCAGAACTGAGCTCTTTACCTGCCAGCTGTCCAGATGGCACACACAACACTGTGATACTGGCATACACAACAAATAAATAAAGAACAACTTCCAACTCCAGATTCTCAGCAAAATTACCAGCTTCCTTGGCATCTTTACCCAGGTCATGTCATTCCAAGATTTAATTCAAACATTGTGAGGTTTAATTTTCCTTTTTCTTTCTTTCTTTTTTTTTCAAGTTCAAAAGAGATGTTTACATTTTTATTCTTTGTAAGGGGATTACATACAATCTCATAGGAGTTGACCTTGCAGAAGTGTCACGTGAGACTTTCCTCAAACTTCTTCCAATCCTGGAAAGGACAAACTGTGTGGGCAAAGAGGCCACCTGTCCCAAGGATCAAGTGCAGCTAGAGGTAGCACAAACCTGGCTCCAGCAAGGAATGGTATACCATCATCTTTCTCACTAACCCTGTTTTAACAGACTATTAATTTAATTTGATGGTAACGTGGTTTTGGCAAGTTGCTACTTTTCCCCCTAAATAAAGTTGCATTTTTAGAAACCTTCCCTTCTTCAGTAATGTATCCAAGCGCCCCACAGTTAAAAATTTGAACTAGCTATTGCTGTAATTATAACCCAAAAAAGGAGACGATTATGTAGAGGTTTAAATTTTTTTCTAAATTCTTTTTGCGTAAAAGGCATAAAACTAGTTTTAAATATGATAAATTACTTAACTAAATGGAACAGGCAGGGGATAACCAGGAATTAAGAGAGCACAGTAGGAATCCTACATGACAAGATAAGTTTGTTTTCTGAAGTATCATACTGTTACCACTGTGAAATTAACAACAGAAAAATTTTCCTGGACTCCTGCTGAGATGGAAGCCAGCAAGCAGATAGTTTTTAATCTCATAGAGAATTTATACTTACATAGAGAGGCTCAAAATGCAGCTTTTAAGAGCTGCTGATAAAACATTGGCCTTCTCTGACATTTTTTATTCAAAGTACTTTATGTACTCAAAAAAAGAACCCACCAAACAACTTAGACATTATTTTTAACAGTATCTTCTGCAGGGTTCTGTTAGTCATTCCACACTATTCACCATTTTCAATACCCTTACACTACAGGTCTAGGGGAAAGTAGGGGCTATGCTTCATCTTGCAAAGAATCCAGGCTAAATCACTTTCAGGAAAGTGAGAACTGCAGTTTTAATTACATAAAGGCTCCAATTAACTTTTTGAGGTGGGAGCCCAAGTTCCTTACAGCTTTACCCATGAATAAGGATTCTGTTTGGCATGAATGGTCTCCTTTTCTATCCCCTCCCACCAGTGTGGAGCTGTAACACATCCAAGCAGAGCCATATATTTTTTAAGAGAAGCACAGGCTGCAGATAGTAAAAGGTGGCAAGGGTAGCTGCCTGTCGAAAGAAGTAAATGGCTACAGGGAAATGGGACACCAGCAAGCCTCAGAAATCAGTTTTAAGTATAAGAGCAACCATTCTGAAATGCAGCAGCTCCAGAGAGCTCACTGCTCCTTCAGAGGCAAATGCTGCCTGCTCCACAGGGGAACCCACCCGTCTTCAGAAGGGTTTTAGAGGTGCATTCCACTACAGGCAACATTTTATCTCCCTGTGTGGACAGTATCTTTTCCCTGTGTCTTTGCACCAAAGAAAGGTTTCTAAGCCTTCAAGTATTTCAGTACCAGTGTATCATATAGGGAAACACACACAGGAAATTTAAAAACAGTGCACTCAAAAGGCATTCAGACAATAAACAAGGATTTGGATTTTTTCATGAGATGTCAAGGCAAGGAAAATAGAGGTTGTTCATTTTGTGGAAAAGGGGAGTAAAAAGTGACGGCGATCTTCTTAAATTTAGGACAGTTGAGGATTACTACACCTGGTTCTGCTGACAATGCAGACACAATTAAAGAGATTATTAATTAAGTGAATAGAAGTGTTTTTTTTTGTTGCCACTAGATGGCAGAAAGAGCCCTTTTACACTGATCACATCTACACCATTTTCAACATACCCTTACAGGACACCTAGGGGCCTATCTTCACCACTAAGATGCTGGATAAAAGAAAAAATCTACTCAATGACTGCCAGTGCTAAGTAGATTAAAGCAGTTTTGAAAAAAATGTTCAGCAATATATAATTTTTAAAACCATCTGTTTGCACTGGGTCCTTTCTGTAAAGCTGAGAAGCCTTGTTTGCAAAGAAGTTAATTTTATTTCCCACTTACACCAAGTGCACAGGATTTACAAGACTTCCAGCAGTCTGATGGGAAGCAAAGTGCTAAAAATTTTCTGCAAATTGTTCACAAGAGATGCATAAACAGGTTCAGATTGAATTAATTGAAAGGAATAGCAATCTTCTATCTGCAGCAAAGAGCTCTGTTTCTACTGGGCTGCATTTGTTTTTCACACTCTCTCG